CTCTGCCTACTCTGCTTGGCATAGTTTCCTCCTGCTGATGAGGGTGGGCAAGCACTGACCAGACAGGCTGGTTTCCCACATCATTTGTTTCAAATGGTCTTGTGAAGATGCCCTTACATCCTCTGTAAAACACCTTTCAACACTAAGGTTTATTAAACTACTTAATGTTTAACCTTCTCCCTCTTAGAGATGATACCAACTCTCTGAACATCACAAAATAGAAAATTTGTATAGATTGACTCATCAGAGAACAATTGTGTCTTCAGTGCCAGAAATTATCAGCTTGTGTGGAGAAATGTATTATAATTAGCAAAGGTTAAAAAATACAACATAAAAAGCAGGATCCGTCTTCCTGATTCTTTGTTTTTTTTAAAGATTTCTGTTTTTTGGTGCCAGTTTTGTATTTCTCACAATCAATAGGATCCAAAGATTTTCCACTTGGTTTAAAAGTCAACTGGGGATGAAGGAAAAGTTACAATATTGCACCTAAGCTAGTTCAATGACTAAACCTTTCTTTGCAAAGAGAGAGTTTTAAACTCATCTGGGTTGCCGGAGAGAAGAATCACTGATTCCTTTTCAGTGTCACCAGGCAGGCAGATAGTCTTGTTCATGGGCTGTACCTGGTGTCACCACCTATGTCAGCTCCTTTTACTGTGGTGTTTTGCCTCTCTACTCTCATTCACAATGGCCAGTGAGCATCACAAGTGTCAGAAACAGGGTGAAAAGCTACTACTTTCATCTTCTTCCTGGTTTAGAGCATCTTTCCTACGCACAGACAGATCAACACATAAATATTAACAATCAGCTGCTACAAATAAGGAAAACCTGCTACAAGGCTTTGAAAACGAAGGACATATGCTCTTCCCACTGGTCACTCTGACTACTTCCTTCCCATCAGTAATAAAGGTAGGGGTGTGTGTGTGTGTGTGTGTGTGTCCAACTCTAGAGAGCAAATGAACAAGTTTGCTACCCAGGACAGGTGGACTCTGAATATCTTCACATCCCACTGGCTTGGGAGTTTCCTACTGATATTTCTGTTGTTGGTAATGTTAGCAAGATATGAATACATGTGTCCTCTCTTATAATACCCCTATTTAAAAATGTTTAATGCCCTAAGTCTTTGAATGCTCCTGTCTCAGTTTTAGTTCTTAGTCAAGCTGAAAGCTAGAATTGTGCTTAAAGGGAGGATAGGCATGGAGGAGGTGGGGAACAGACACTCACTTGGAGTGCAGGTCATTAAACTTGTTCCATGCTAGAATAAAAGGTTATACAGCTCCCTCCCCTCCCCACAGTGTGTCAAACGCTTGTTTTCTTTGAGAAGAGAGTAGGATGTCCTATGGCTAGAGTCAGAAAACATGTCTTTGACAGCCTTCCTGGTGTTTTGTTTTTTGTTTCCTTTTTCCCTCCCAGTTGAACTTGAATGATTTAGAGTCTTAATGATTTAGAGTCCTAGAATTTCAGAGCTGGATGGGAGATTGCTCATGGGAGATTGCATCTTGATCCCCAACCCCTTAGCTGCCAGGAAGAAGTGGTAGAAAAATTGTGAAATCGTACTAATTCAGTATGGGTTGGTAGAATTTAATTCTTCCTCAAGTATTTATGGGAAAAACAGGAGTGCAGAAACCAGGGCTTCCCATAGCCCAGACATGCCCTTGGGCCAGAGGGAATGGCCTCAGAAGTCTTTTGCCAAAGGACATTTTGTTAGTTCAATAACTGTAAGTATCAGTAAGAAAGTGAGAGGCTTAAGGTTTAGCATGCAATTGGAACCTCATTGTGTAACTTAGGAAAGTAAGGGCACACAGTGATGTTTAAAAAATATTAAAAAACCCAATAGCATGTGTCCAGGAAGACTGGCAGCTGCTGGGTGCCTGCAGGATCTAGACTCTTGCAAAAATGCCTTGGAATTACTCCTCTTTTTAAAGAGGCAGAGGCTTCATTTTGGAGGGGTCACAGTGGGGGTCCTGGCTTCCATCGTGTGGGAGAGAATACATTTTACCTGCCCTCCAAAGAATGAGTCAGAGGCTGTGGTACCAATGCTGGCCAAATTTGAGTTCCTGAGACAGAGAGATCAGGTGGAGGCTGAGGATCTCACCTCAAACCATTTGCCAGAGGTCTTGACAATGGAGGGTTTCCATGGCTCTTTCCCTTCTCCATGCCCTGGATGTGCCCAGAGCTGCTGCAGGCAGTATTAGTTGCCGGTGCCAATGACTCATATGTTTTAAAATCTCCAAATCACTTTTTATAGGAACACATAAAAATTCCTGCTCAACATCTGCCCTATGTTCATTGACTTTTTTGTTGGTTTGTTTGTTTCCCTGAGAGATGCCATTTTGGCAACACCCAAGGCTGCCTCTCCTCTGATTCAGATGTTGGAGACTTTCATCCATAGCCACACAAAGCCCCAGGGCAGTTTTTTGTGTGTGTGTGTGTGCTTCCAGCATTTAGTGTAATTAGTTGGATAAACTTGCTAAGCCATCTGATTTGAATAAAGTCCATTATTCCTCCTGTAAGAGCTCAGGATGGGGCCAATACCAATGGGAGCCAACTCTCCAGCCTCCCTCTCCCAGTGATACCTCAAGGAAGAATGTAAATGAATAGAAGGAACAGAGGAAAGTGGAAGAGGATAGAATTTTAAGAAGTCGTACTTCCTAGAATGGTGGCCAAATAGGGCTGCTTTGGAACATCACGTAAGCCACTTAATAACCTCCCATCATACTATCTAGAGCAGGGCTGGGCAATGCAGTTTCTTCTCACATGTTTTTACTTTAAGCAGAATACTTAATATATATTGGCACTGCTCTGATGTTTGAGTGCTACTCATTATGCAGAAATGTTTCAGTGCACACACCACTCATATTTGCATTTACTTTCTTTTGCTGCATCTTTGTACCTAGGATAAACATGGTTTAATATTCCCTGAAAAAATTTTTTTTAAACCACTGTAACTTGTTTAATTTGGTTGCTGAAATCTTGTGTTTGTAATCGAGATCACTTTTAAGAAGGGACATTCTTATTAGAGGTAATTTGGAAAACTGCAGCTTGTTCACTGTTTGGTACTATCTTAATTATCTTGACCTTACATTTTAGGGTCCTACTTGTTTGAGTTACCATGCATTCTAAGTATTGTTTATCTTGTTACATAATCATATGGTTTTCATGGTTGCAACATGGTCCATTACATGGAAATGTCACAGCTTGCTTGCCTATTCTTTCATACTTATCATTTTCAGTTTTTCAATATTTATCAATAACTTTGAGCAGAAAATCTTCTAGATTTCCCTTACATTTTATATTATTTCCTTAAGATGGACTTTCCAAGGTTTCTTATAAAGATGATGAATGTATTAGGCCAGGGCTTCTCCAGGTGCAGCGTGTGCACAGATGGCTGGTGGATGTTGTGAAATGCAGATTCTAACTCAGTAGATGTGGGCTGAACCTGAGAATCTGCATTTGTCACAAATGCCTGCGTGATGCCCAGGCTGTGGCTCAGGGCTTTGGGCAGGCTTCTAAAGTTGCTGATGTGTTGGCATTGAGAGTATTCATAAGACTTGTTTTGCCAAGTCACTCTATGGGCTGGTTACCTAGGAGCTCTGCCCCCTCAGAAATATTTTCTAATCAAGAAGAAAGTTTTGATTAGACTGATGTCCAGAGGGGTGGGAAGCTGTAGCATCTGCCTTCAATAAAAGCCTCTAAGCTCAGTTGTGGCTGCCATTAGAATCACCTCGGGAGTACACACACACACACACACACACACTCTCTCTCTCTCTCTCTCTCTCTCTCTCTCTCTCTCTCGGCTCCTTCCAGACCACTACAAACAGAATGGCAGGCAGTGGAGCCTGGCTATCAGTATTTTTTAAAGCTTCCTGGGTATTAGAGGTGACTCTGTATAGCCAGGGTTGAGGACTATTGTTCTAAGCCCACAGAAGACCTACCTTAAATCTCACCGAGCTCCCAACTGTGTTTTATATCTGATTGGATGAAAAGCTTGGGGCTTATATATGCCACACTCAGACCGCCACACTTTTGACAATGGATTTAGCACAGCCATGAGTTGTCTGCATTTCTAAAAAAACAATAACCATAATTTCTGATGGCAGACAAGGTATTTGCCATCATTGACTTCTCCATCAAACTTACTTCTCTGTAGCATTTGTTGATCCTATCTTAATGAATGACACCATTGTACACTCAGTCTCCCAAGCCAAAAACCTGGGGCTGATCTAAGCCCCTTTACTTTCCCATACCCTTCAAATCTAAGCAGTTCTCACAGTCCTTTGTTATGTACGTACTTGTTTTTTATAGAATGTAACACATTGGCCGGGCGCGGTGGCTCAAGCCTGTAATCCTAGCACTTTGGGAGGCCGAAGTGGGTGGATCACGAGGTCAAGAGATCGAGACCATCCTGGTCAACATGGTGAAACCCCATCTCTACTAAAACTACAAAAAATTAGCTGGGCATGGTGGTGTGTGCCTGTAATCCCAGCTACTCAGGAGGCTGAGGCAGGAGAATTGCCTGAACCCAGGAGGCGGAGGTTGCGGTGAGCCGAGATCGCGCCATTGCACTCCAGCCTGGGTAACAAGAGCGAAACTCCGTCTCAAAAAAAAAAAAAAAAAAAGAATGCAGCACATTATATTAAAATTATCCTTCAATTAGACCATGAGCCTCTTGACCCCAGAGATAGTGTCTGATGCATCTTTTTATTCCCCATACCTAGTGCAGGGCCTGTCTAGCACAGAGTGGATACTCCTGAAATAATTGTTGAATGAATGGATGAAATAAAATGGGTTTTGATTGCATGTAACCCTGGAAGATTGTTCTTATGGTTGAAAGTTTCATAGCAGCGTGGTTCTAGCAGGAACACAGATTGCTTAGATAGTGCCTGGTGCCAACATGGCCTTGCCCTGGGGGTGTGAAAGACAGCAGACGGAATGCCCAGCATGCCCTGAGTCTCTGCCTCTCACCACCTGCTAGAGTAACACCTGCTGTTTCTGTTTGGCAGTTGCCTTTTCTGGCCTTGGCTTCACGACGTTCTACTTGGCGGGCAAGCTGCACTGCTTCACGGAGAGTGGGCGGGGAAAGAGCTGGCGGCTCTGTGCTGCCATCCTGCCCTTGTACTGCGCCATGATGATTGCCCTGTCCCGCATGTGCGACTACAAGCATCACTGGCAAGGTGAGTCCCTGCCCAGGGCCTGACTAGTCCTCACTGCGGTTGCCACTCTCCTCCAGGGTTGGGTGTAGAAATGCACCATTGTGGGGGGCTGAGTGCCCATTGTCAGAAACCAGAGGAGGCTGAAATGACTGAGTGGATACAATTTTGAAGCAGATATTCTGGTTCAAGTGAGGCCTGGCCTTCCTGGGGAAAGAATTGGAGCTCTTCTTCCTCCTTCATGCTCCAGGAGACTGCTTGAGTCCCACTAGAATATCAGGCCCTTTGGTTTAGAGTCACCCTTGGCCTGAGACCCAAATGTGATTTTCCTGCTGGATCACTTGCCTCAGTCCTCAGACTTCATGCCAAGTGGTTTTTGGCTTCCTTTGCTTATCAAATTCACCCTACAAGGACATATTTGTTACCACGGATGCTCTTCCGAAGGGTATATTCAGCCAGGGATTCATTCCAGTAATGCTCCAGGCAGCAGGTACAAGCCTGGGGTGAGGTTTGCCTATATATATATATACATATATCAGTCCTGGGATCATTGTTAAAAATCAGAATAACACAAACAAGGGAGGGGCTTGTTCCTGAAATAGAACTAAACCATGCCATGTCCTTCTGCAGAGAAGCTGTAGCTCACAGTCTGTCTGAAAGACAACCACCACCTGCCAGAGCAAACAGAGAGCCGTGATGGAGGTGCTGTCCACGGGAGGTGTGGCCTCTGGGAACCATGGGATCTAGGAAGGGGTTTCCCAAGGGCAGTCCAAAGATCACCTTGATCAGGCTGCCCTGATCTAGGAACTGGGCTCTCTAGAGGTGCATCGGCCTAGAATCTTCACGGTTAATAAGGAAGTCTATCATTGCTGATGAAGTCTAAGAAGCACTGGTAAAAAGCTCCACTATACAGTGTCCATTTTAACCAAGCAAAGCAAAGAAAATGTGCTTGAATCCAGCTTCTTTGGGTGAATTGGCTTCCACGATAGGTCTGTGACCCAAACCTCCTCTCCCTTTCCTGTTTTCCGGCTGTTGTTGGGCATTGTTCACCTCCTCCCTCTCCCCGTCTTTGCAGCCCGCTGCCTTGCAGGACTACCCTCTTAACACCTTTTCCAGGGGTGTGTTGCAGTGGTAATGATGCAATGAACGAGGGCACAGTTAAGGGAAACTCCTAGCTGAGAGCCCCTCCTTCTTCCTCTTCTCTGGAGACCTGTGCTCCTTCCAGCACTGCCCAGCTTCTCCTGTTCTTTCTTGGTCTCTTCCCTACCCCGTACCCTCCTGGAACTCATGATCCAGGTGTCCCGTGACCCCAGCGGCAGCTTTGGGCTGGAGGGTGAAGGGTATAGGGAAAGAGATGCTGACATGGTTTGGACAGGTGGATGCAGCAAGCATCAAGTGCTACCAAGGTTTGGGGCCCTCCTGATGGGGTGGTCAGAAGAGGGTCACAGGGCTGGGGTCTGGGCCCACCCTTGTTCTATTTTTATCAATGACTTGGATGAAATTCTAGATAAGAAGCCACATCATGAGACAGAAGAATGGAGAGATTCATTGGGCCAAAGGAAAACAAAGGCACAGCCCACACGGCTTGGAACTGGGAATATTTTCTCACAGAATTGTTTCCTACCTATGTGGTTAGGGCATTTCCCCATGAAGAATACTATGGGCCAAACGGCCTTTTGTAGACTGCTTCTCATTGATCTCTTATGAGCCAGTTTCTTCTTTGAGCACAGGAGCAATGAATCCCTAAATATTTCACAGAGCTTTTCATAGATCGAATGAAATAATGGATCCAAATGTTCTTTGTAAATGGAAATGTACTACACACATGCAGAGTGGTGTCACTGCTGCTTAGTGCATTGTTTCTAAGGAAGGATGCGTTGTGTTTCCCAAACAACTGAGTCGGAGGCAGACAATTTTTTTGGAACATGATCTATTTGTAAGCTATGAATGCCACGTTTTCACTTTTATTCAACCACTTTGGATTTGGGGAATGTCTGGGGGTTTCAGAATTGAATCAGTTTTTCCTTTATCTTAAAAGTCAGTGAGAGCCTTTGCATAGTGATCTTGTACTGACAACCTAAGAGGTGAGACTGGCCTGTCTTCAGCACTCTCTGGCCCTACCCTGTTTTGTTCCTCATTTTCTAGCTGTGGTGGTGTCACGTGGTGAAGCGAAGGAATATGGAATCACAGCTTTTGTCTTTAGGGAATGGTTAATTCATGCTGCCGCTGGTGTACCCAAGGCCTGGTGACAACTGAGGCTTTGAAACTGTTACTGTCCAACAGGCACAGAAAGGAACTTTGAGCAGTAGAAGGAGAATATTCATCCTCTGTGGGCCATTGGGAAAGCCAAGCAAGAGAATTTATGTTCAGTGATGGTTAGAACCATATTTGGGAATCAAATCAAAACTGCGTCATGGTAGACTTCTGTAGTCCAAGCTGAAGATGCATCTGTTGGTACGGGTTATTGGTATAGGCCAAGGACCAGTTCAGCTCTGCCATTATGTGTTCAACCTATACCCTTGGAGTCAGCCAGGAGAGGAACACAGCTTCCTTGGATGTCTAAAAGGCTCTGAGTCAGGCTCATTTTACCTGAGTTCCCCTTCACGAGTCTGAGTTCCCCTTCACTGTCCACACCAGTTGTTTTCAACTGTGTGATGGAGAGGCTCACTGTACCTCTCAGGAGACATTGAGCAATGTCTGTAGGCATCTTTTTGTTGTCACAACTTTGAGGTGTAGGTGCCACTGCCGTCGAGTGGGTGGAGGGTTAGAGACTAGGGATGCTACTCAATGTCCTACGACTGCAAGACCCCCCGCCCACCAACAAGGAGTTATCCAGCCCCAAATGTGAATACGGCCCAGGCTGAGAATCCCTGTTCTATGTCATACCCCGGCCCCATGTTTCCTTCCCCTGTTACACGTTAAGAAGCAGCAGTGCTCTGGGAGAGGGAAGTTTTGTTCATTCAACACTCAGTTATTAAGGGAGAAATCAAGGAGGCCTCAAAGGTTTTCTGTTGGGAGGAGGGATGCAGAGCAAGGTCTTCAACTGCAGTGTAGGTGGATGTTTGAGGCAGGATGCCTGATCAAGATAAATAACTTGTTTTCCTTTGGTGAACTGAGCTGCCCAGTGACCATGGGCGGGGGCCATCCATCATGGTGAAAATTCACATGGAGCCCCATTAGCATCAGCAAAACTCAAGTCCCCCTCATTATAGACTTTAGTTAACAGCATTCATGTTATGAGATTTTATGACTCCTTTTCAATTTTGATTTAAGCAACTGTGCTTAATGTGGAAATACATCCAATTACTCAATTACACAGTCATATCCAATAAATAGTCCATAATCTCCGATGACTCTCTGTCCATTATCATGCTTATTTTCTGTTGTTGACACCCCCTGGTCTTTTCTGTCTCCCCAGCCAACTTCAAATACAAAAATCTATTGTTTTATTAAATGACGAAAATACAGAGGCACAGGCCATGGCATAGGGAAGGACATATGAGACATTTAGCAGAACTTCCCCAGACGCTAAAGCAGCTGGATCAATACTAAATCTCTATGTGGGTGATGTGCCCTGTGTCCTGGTGACATTCTGGCTTTTAGGCCAACTAGAAGCTGGAGAGTTTCACAGATGATGCTAACTGCAAAGCCCAGTGCCCTTTGAAACAGGCTCACCTTTGTGATTAACAATGTGTTTAACAGTGCTCAAACTTGTAGAATCCCCATGCTAGGGAAAATAAGTGCAGAGAAAGAGTGGAGCATGTCCTTAAACTGACTTCTGCCTCTGTTCACCCTGTCGTGTGATTACGATTTCTTGTCAATGGAGGGTTATAGCTACTAGTGGCAGGAATGTGTTGTGTGCTCCATCACTGGACTTAATAATGAGCTCCTCTGACCAGCTCAAGTCCCTGCATCTGAAACCAAGCTCTCTCCATGTGACTAGGTTTGGAGATAACATTTGAAATACATGTTTCTCTAATCATAGGTCATTCTAAGCATCCCTGGGTGCCTGTGCGGTGTTTCATTATAAGAAAGAGCATCCCCCTCCGGAAGTAATCTAAGGGAACAGGCCTCAAAGAATGAAACTGTCATTTGTTCCCACCCAGACTAAGGTTGGAAAGCATCTCGGTCAGTCACAGATGCAGTTGTCTCACTGGGCTGAAATTCTCAAGATGGCCGTCATTGCCTTCGCCTGCTTCCCCGACTGGGCGGTGAAGGGTCTGTGATTTGAAATGAACTTAATGTAGTTACCAAACTTCAGGAGATTATTGATCCTCCAAATGCAGGTAGTTTGGTGGTTGGATATGTGCTGGACTATTTCGTGTGCCACAAAATGCTTTTGGCCTCAAAGAGTCAGGGAGAAGCTATTCCCTTCAAGAAACCTTTGTTTCAAAGCCTCATGGCATCCTGCAACTCACAGGACTCTCTCGAGCTCTCCTTCCTTTTGTTACTGATAAACTCAGTAGCCCCAAAGGATGGGATCTTTCGCTGTTCAGTGTCACAGAGCCATTACATGAAATCAAACGTGAGCATCAAGCAGAGTAAACTTTATACCATGGCCAAAGAATGGAGGAGTGGAAACACAGCTCTCAGATGAACTTTTCAGTTAGTGAGGGGCGAAGGGATTAAAATATTAGGGTTTCTCTAACGAAGAGGTCAGGCAGTAAAATCTAGAGGAGGAATAGTTGGTTCTTTTTCTGGAAATGGACAGTGAACTTCTGGGAACCAGAGCACTGCCTTCCTTTTATGGCTTCCTCCAGTTGTTGTCATGGCAAGTGTCAACTGTCATGCTGCTGGTGAGAGTGTCATTTGGCATGGAAATGAGATTACAGTGAAGCCTGAGGTCTTCTTGAAGTTCTTCAGTCAGCTATCTTGGTTTTAGCCAGTGTCAGCCCGTCCAGGTACAAAGGGAACTATTTACCACAGGTGTCCTATGTCTTGTAGATAAACAGAATTAGAAAGGGGTAGAAATTCACCTACGTACTTACTCCCCTTCCCTCCCCTCTGTGTCTGTCTCCATCTCT